ACTGTGACTCTTCCTCATCACGTTTGGTATAAAAATGAAACCCGTCTAATAGTAAAGTCAGCTTAGTGACCTTCACCGCTACAGTATCAGGCACAGTAGTCCCAAAGCCCTTAAATGTTAAAACATGAACAGCTGGGGTGAAACATAAGACTTAAAGGGCGACACATAAGATAAACAAGAGCCTGATGAGATAGGGTCATAAACTGTTAGTCACACTGTTTGAGAAATGATCTGCAGTGGCACTTGCCTCTCAGTGGGGACATTCACAGAATCATAGAATGTTTTGGGTTGGGAAGGAACAGTTACAATCCTCCTACCATAGGCAGGGCCACCTCCCACTAGAGCAGGTTGCTCCAAGCCCCATCCAACCTGGCTTTGAAATTCCAGGACAGCCACAGCTTCTTTGGGTAACCTGTGCCAGTGTCTCACCACTACCATAGTAAAGAGCTTCTTTCTAATATCTGAATCTCCCCTTTCAGTTTAAAGCCATTCCCCCTTATCCTATCACTACCCTTGTAAAAGTCCCTCTCCTGCTCTCTTGTAGGCCCCGCTTAGGTACTGGGAGCTGCCATAAGGTCCCCCCAGAGCCTTCTCTTCTCCAGGATGAACAGCCCCAGCTCTCTCAGTCTGTCTTCATAGGAGAGATGCTCCAGCCCTCTGATCACATTCTTGGCTCTCCTCTGGACTCACTCCAACAGTGAGGTCCACATCCCTCTTCTGCTGGGGGCCCCAGAGCTGAACACAGTACTACAGCTGGAGTCTCACAGGAGTAAAGATCACTGATGATATTTAGTATTGGGTTGGCACAACTTCATTCAACTTGTTACACTATTGCACATTTGGTACATGTTACCTAGGAAAACCATTCCTGGGGCAAGCCTTGCTGGTGTGAAACTCAACATGCAATAAGGTCTGAGTGTTACACTATCATGGGCTCCATGCTGCACAGTTAAAGCAAGGGTTAATTTTGAGGAGGGAGGGAAGAATATACGACACAAAATGGAAACAGGACTGAGGTAGTGACATTAGACAATGCTTTTGGGCAACTTGGGTGCAGTGGTCTCATCAGAACCCTCATGTGTCAATTGACAATGAGAGCTGCTCTGAACAGCAGTTCATGCATGTTTTACTGAGGCATGCTACACATGCATATACTTTGCAGTTTAAAACAAGCTCTACATAGTATTCCAGAGAGCCAATGAATCAAGCAAAACTCCAGAGGCAAAACCCAAAGGGAAGTATTTAATATAAAAATGGACAAAATGAAGACAATAAAGTCATCACATGAACAGGAAGGGGAATGATTATCTAAGCATGAAAGCAGAGACAGAAAAGAAGGTTTTTTAACAGTAGCTGGTCAGCATTAGATAGGTGAAGTCTTATACATTTGTTTAGTGGTCCATCTAGAAAACAGAGACAGAGATATTAATTCTGAGGGCTTGCTCTATTTATGTTTGCCTAGGCTGGGATATGACCCAGCTGAACAGTAAGGGATGACAGCTATGGAAGTGGCCATGTCAATGTGTCTCCATTGCTCTCTAAGCCTTTGCAAATACACATCTTCATGGCCTGTCAAAGAGAAGTCATGATGCTGTACTGGAAATACGAGTTCCATGCATGTGGTGACACAGCAGGACAAACAGGACACAGAATTCCCCATCCCACCAAATGTCTATCTGTAATAAGGTGAGAAGTTCAGGTAAACATATTTTAAATGGTGTGGGAGTTTTTTGTAATTCTTCGTTTTCTTTCAGATGTATGATAAAAGAGAATTCAAAATGGTTTATATTATAGGAGACTCTGGCCTCATAAAGAAGACATATGGATGAATGTAATACACAATTAAACATCATTGCGTAAGGTTTTGTCCTTCAAAGTGAGTATCTATTAAGTCACGTGATGACAAGAGTTTGGATCTTCACTAGGGGAATTCAGTGGAAGGAAAACTCTGCCTCTGGGGTTCATAAAGACCAGGTTGTATGGACTATAAAGTCAATTTTGGTACAAAGCAGTCACACTCATCAGGAAAGGTCCTAGATGAAGGTGTCTATTTTCTCAAAATCAATGTTGCTTCTTCTGATCCATTACAACTTTCTTTTCCAAGCCTGCTATACTTCTTAGAGTGACCTAAACTTAGATTCATGAATGACATGGCTCTATTGACTGTCACATCCCTAAGACTTTCACAGATAACCAGAAGAATTACTAACAGCCAAATGAGACTCTTAACTTTCAAACTCACTATTCCCACTTCTCTATAGTGGAGCTTGCACCCACAGGTCATCACCCAGCTGCAGCTTAGTAGTCTGCTTCTGAGAAGAATTAGTGCTCATTTCCTTCTCAGCTGCTTACAATTGCAAATCCTTTAAAACTTCACTGTCTTCCTTTTTCTAGTCCTACCAGACAGCCACCCTTATGACAAAGCAGGAAAAGATGAACTAAGGAAGTAGGTGGTATCAACTCATCTATTATTACTGCTTAGGAAGTTGCAACACCTTCTGGTTTTGACACAGCTATTACTGCAGCAGCACCAACATATCAGATACCCCTTTCATGGACTTTCTGGAAGCTTTCAAATTGTAGGCAGTTAGAATCTGGTTTATTGCACCAACTAGGTAAGGGAGCTTCAGGTTTGCAACCTTTACAAACTTGTATCCTCTCCTTCAAGCAACTGCGGTTGTACTCTCAACCACAGTCCAGCTCCATGGAGAGGCTGTGTGAAGAGCAGGCATGGTGGCACAGGAGCAGACAGCAGATTCTAACTGACATAGCTGCAGCAGCCCTGTTTCCTCTGGGTCCTTAGTGAAGCACTGCAACCCAATGCCAGAAGACCAGTGGGTTCTACTCCTGGTTCTACTTACAGGGAGACACAGAAAAGAGCATAATTGGGAGAAAAACGTAAGTATGAGGCTTGTTGCCAGTACATAACTTACTGCTTGGGTCTGAGTTTAATGTGAGAAATTAATAAACTCTAGCTATATATCAGCTTTGGTTACATCTGAGCCATCTAACTGGATTTCGTACCTTGCCATGGGGAAAGTTGCAGCAGAACTAGTCATGTTGACACATGGTGTTCATACAGGAGGTAATTCTGTAGAATTGAAAGAGTAGAAGAACACAATAACTACTGAATAAACAGAGAACCACTCCCAATCAACTCCCAAATTAATTTTGCTAGGATAGATTAACTCGTAATTGAAGATTCTAGCTATTCCAGGAGGGTGGCAATCCTTTGAAAAGACTGTCTTTTCTAACATGAGCATATGTTATTTTGTCATTCAGGTGGCGCCACTTCTTGCATAAAATTTACTTTGCATAATTACAGGCAGTTTTGAAAAACATTTATTTGCAATCTTCGGTGCTTGCATACCACATGCATTTTCATTCAGTTGAGAATGTCTGTAATAACCTCCTGGTGTAGTCATTTAAATGGCACTAAGGACTGATTTCTGCAAATCCATGGAAAAAAGTCTGGAAGTCTTTGGATACTCATGAACAGAAATAATTATTCTGTTTCTAGGCCCTCCACAATTCATTACCACCTGTTTGCCAGGGGAAAACCTCCCCACAGAAGAAAGCTGGCTGGTGCTGTGCGTACATGCCTCAGATGCAAAGTCCAGCAATTTTCTTTAAAGTGCTGATGACAGCCAGTTTGTGCTAAGACAGCAGACTTTGCACTGAGACGCGTACAGGTGCTCCACTCTGCCAGGCTAACCACAGCAGGGACTGGACAGACAGTACAGCTGGACAAGTTCTGCCTTCAACAACCTCAGAGCAATTTGCCAGGCTGTCTCTGTCCTTGTCCCTGAACTGGAAGAGTGGGTAAACTGCACTGCTCAAGGAATATACACAACTGTAATGCATCAGGGCATCTGTGTGATGAAGTAAACCTGTAACTTCTATTTCCAAGCAAAAGAATTCAGTGAGAAAATTCTGGTTCACTGAATTCACTGCATGTGAGTTCACACCACCTTCAGTTTTGGCGGCTTTCTGCTAAAACCATGGTAGAGGTGAAACCTTTCTCTGGTTACTGCATACAGACGACAGCAAAAGGCAGCCTTCAAGTTCTGTTGTTCTGTGTCAAGGCCACCAGCTGAGATCATTAAAGACAGTAGACACGTTTACACAGCACAGAGAGGCCAAGGAACTGCAAGGCAGCATCACGGCCTCAGGACACCCCAGTGCCAACATGGTCGCTAGGTAGTGTGCTTGCCAAGAGACGGCTGCATGCTACTGTAAGCTAGACCGAAGGTAACTCTCTGAAGACTGCTCATGGCAGAAAACATGGATACTTTGTGCTTGGAGATTTGGGGCTCCAAGGGAAGACATGATAGGTTTCCTAGTTCATATGGGGTAACAGGAAGGAATATAAGCATAACGAGAACACATCAAATGTGGTATATGTAGGGGGATTAATAGGGCAAGAGACATAACAGAGAAGAAAAATTATGATCTATCATACTGCATGTAATTTTTAGGGTTCAGCAAGTCTTTGTGTGTAGGTTTCTATTTTGTAGTTGTTTCCCTCTCTTTTTCCATTAGATGCCAAAAATCCTTATCATTTTATCCATTGCTCATTTCCTTTTCCCCTGTGTTATTTCTTCCCATTTTCTGAGTATCTGTAAAACTCAGTTTCACAGAAGTTTGTTTTTCATACATTCCAGGCTGTAAAATATAGGAGGCAATTGTTGCTATATCTCACAGATGTGAAGACAGATCTAAAACAGAAATAAAAATGTTGAATGGCTGATGTTTTTTCATGTATAGACAGATCTCATTATAAAACTATAAAGAATTGTCCTTCCTAGATACATAGTTCAATTAATACTGGATATATTTAGTTTTCAGAGCACCTCTCCCACAAATGCCAAGGTAAAATAGGAATATCCAGTTGTTATATAATAGGAGGATATTTATGAAAAACAAAGCTAAATTCAGCAAAGCACTGTTCATTTAGATGGATGAGTTGAGAGATAGAATTAATTCTAATTTTAATGTAATTAATTCTAATTTTAATGTGAATTTGTACATGCGTGGTTTAGAAGCCATACAAATAGCTTAGTTAGCTTTTTAACGAGTATGGAGAGTATGCGACCTGATTATTTTGGTAGACATGGCAGGCCTGGTTTTACTAGTCTGTTAGCTGTACAACTCCTTGGCTCACAACAGCTTTGCATGGCATAGAAGGGAGGTGATATCTGCCTTCCTTCGTATGACTAAGTTACTCTGTCATGAACTTAGTGTATACAAATTAAGATGAAGGACAAGATTCTTCATTCCACCCACAAGAAGGGGTAACTCATTTGAACAGAGAAATATTTCAGGCATAGCTTGAAGGGCATTTTGAACTAGTACAGACGTGTTCATTCGGTGACAAACACTCCTCTAAGGTTTACATACTCCTACATGGTCTATTACATAGGAGAATGCTACCTGGTTAATTTGCGAGACTGGATTTCTCCTTCAGCTTACAAAGTGATGGGAAATGCATAGATGTGATACAAAAAATCTTCTTCTACAAGAATACAGATCAAAATCCCCAGAGAAAAAAGAAATCTGCCCACTACATAGCTGTTGCATTTGGCATTTGTTATATTCAAATCATGATGCATGCTCATTGCACTGCAACTAGTTGCACAGTGCAACTAGTCCTTTTTATTTCACATTTTAATTTCCCACATAGAAAGAACAGCTAATGAGTAGGCTCTGCTTCCTTCACACTAATAGCGTCTGCCTTCACCAACACTTTTTCCACTTATGAAGCTGTTCTTTATAATAATACAATTTCCCAGCTTTCTTCTGCCATCATTGTCCAGCTCCCAGTGAGACCTATGGCATGACACAGAAGATGAGGTAACAGTTCATCTGACATGTTCTTTTTCTTCCAAAGTTAATACCCAATTTAAAATACACAGAGGTCAACTTAAGCTCACAAGTTGTCAGCAGCCAGCAAATGAACAGGAACCTACACTTCAGGCAACTGAGAGTCTTACATCTTGCAAAAGTGTAATTAGTCTGAGGCCATTAATATCTTCACTTTGGGAAGATATCTTCAGCCAGGCTTCAGAGAAAGGCACCACTACCTTCAGTACTAAGGCACCTTTCTGAGGAACTCATGGAACAGATTTTTCACACAATGTTCAAGCCATAGACTTTGAAGCAAGCAGGTGGTTCAAGAAATTTTAATCCACTTGCATTTATGAGTTGACATTCAAGAATTGTCTCTCTCTTTAAAACCATCAATCAAAAGTATTTACAGAATCATGATTCATGATTCTGTGAATCAAAAGTATTTACAGATTTAGTAATTGTCACTAAACAGACTTGGCTCTTGGATACAGGCACATCTCTGACTGGCACTGTAAACTTCAAAGGCTTTCTATGTCAGCCTGCACTTCAGCACATTAGGTTCCATCTCTGTGAGGAGGGTGACAATCAAGTTCTTGGTGCAGCAAATTTTTTAACCGATAAACTAAATTTATGAATTGAGTCAAACCAAGAAGCTCTAAAACAATCACCAATTTACATGTATTCACTGTTCCTTAAAAGGACTAGTTGTTTGACTTGTAACTTGTATTTTACCTTGAAGAGTGGTGGGTCATTTTTTGACTTGGTCCAGGGACTAAACTTTCAGGATATGCTGGGAACCTCTCTGTTTACCAAGCTCAATTAAAAAAGGTGCCATGTTCAGCATTTATGTAGTGTTTCAACAGACTTTATTTTCTCCTTAAGTGATTTAGTTTTGCCTGGATACACATGTCCCACTCTTTGTTACGCAGAACTGTAATTGCACAGAAACAGGGACAGATCATCAGCCAAGGTGTGATACATCCATTAAACAAGTCATTTCAAATAGCCTTAAATAAATGAAATGTTCTGTAAGTAAAATCAGATTCTCACCTGCTTTAAACGTTAAGCTGCCAGGCTGTATGAGAAACAAACATAGTACCTGTTAATAAAAAGAAATGCTGACAGCAGCAAACAAAATAGCATAGCCATTAGAAAAGCCAGAAGCCTTCAGACTTTTTTATCCACCAAAGATTCAGGGAAGGTTTTTATGTCTTAACTGCTGTAGGAGAGCTAAGCAATTTATCAGATGAGAAGGATGAATACTTAAGAATCTGCCAACAAATTTCAAGATCCAGATCCTTAAAGCATTATGTTTGATTAAAAGTTCAATACTAACTAAATGAGAAGATGTAGCAGTACAGTGCAAAAAGACAGCAAGTTACAGGATTTCTTAACAGAGACTGTCCAGCCCAAAGACGCAAGAGTTCAGTGGCCATTTAGAGGACTCTCTAAAGTAAATCAGTCAGGGCATACATTATCTTTGAAGTCCGTTGGTGACCTTTCTGAAGTCCAGTTTTGGGTTGATCCAAAACTGTGAAATTGTAAACACAGTCCCAGATATGGGTGAAGGTGCACCCACAACTTCAAATGCCTGAGCAACTACAATCTTGCAGATACAGCTGACAAGCTCCTTGTGGTCAGCCTGTGAGACAGCTGTGGGGTCAGCACATGGCACGTCAAAGGGCCTGCAGTATTTGCACGTGTTCCTGAGAGCACTCTTCAAATGTACAGGCGCAGGCAACACAGGTGTTATCACCTACAGCTGACAACCACAAGTGGAACAAAGCATTAGTCAGAACTTGATGTCATATAATTTGCCTGGTATAAGCATGAGCAAGACCTAGCCCCAAAATGTCAGATACATCATCTACAATATTCTTGAAAAACAAAAGCCAGCTATGACAAAGAACATGTAAGGGAACAGAAAGGACAGACTAATATTCCTAAGAACCAGTGGCTGAACTGGTGGCCCACAGGGTAGGCATTAGGGAACACAAGATTGTCCTAACTCACCACCTTTTGTGCAGAAGTTCTGGAGGAGACAAGGTGTGACAGCTGGTGAAAACTGGTACCTCCCTCTGCATCTCTGTATTGCACCCTGTCATGAGAGCCCCAGATGTGGGAGCCAGCCTTCACCATGGAACACTGGGATTACCAGTGCAAGTCAACCCATCACATACTGCCATGGATATCTAAGTTTTCTTGTCTCTCTCACAAGCCTTCTCTGAAGGGTAGCACAGAGATCTGAATTAAGACTTCTGGTCAGGAATCCCCTGACAAGATACTCTTTCTCTCTGTTGACAACAGAGGGAGTCCTTTGCAATTAAAATCTTAATTTTGTTGACCATAACTATTAACTTAGGGAATGTGAAGTCCTTTCCTCAAGGCATTTTCCTTGGGCAAAGTAGACAAATTTTTAAGGTTTAAAAAAATCGTTTTCTGATGTTTTGGGATTCAGCCAAATATCTCTACATAATTTCCCAAAACACTGAGCAACAAAAACTTCTGTTAATAGGAATGAAACATAAAAGCAACCTGAAATCCCAGGGCTGAGTAAAGTAAAACTTCCGGTCACTTCTGGAGTTGTTGTGGTGACACTGTATCCCTTGCAGTGAACATCTTTCTCTGCTGATGTTAATACAACATTTACCTAAACAAAAGTATTTATGCTATTCTTTATTATTGGATTGTAGACAAGACACTCCATAGAGCAGCCTTCCAGTACCTAAAGAGGGCCTACAAAAATGCTGTAGAGGGACTTTTTATAAAAACAAGTAGTGATAAAACAAAAGGGAATGGCTTTAAACTGAAAGAGGACAGACTTAAGATTAGATATGTGGAAGAAATCCTTCACTGTGAGGGTGGTGAGGCACTGGAACAGGTTGCCAAGAGAAGCTGTGGCTTGCTCCATCCCTGGAAGAGTTCACATCAGGTTTGACAGGGCTTGGAGCAACCTGGTCTAGTGGAAGATGTCCTTGCCCATGGCAATGCGGTTGGAATTATATGATTTTTAAGGTCCCTTCCAACCCAAACCATTCTATGATTCTATGAGTTTAGGAGAGGTTATAAATCAAATAAAGTTTACTAAAACATCAAAACTATCAAGATAATACCATTTCTTAATACTGTCATGGCTGAACTGTATTACACTTTGCAGAGGCTATAAATAGCTGTTGAAAGCAGCTTTGTTTATTGTTAAGCAATAAATTTAGCGGGAGGGGGGGATTCCTGTCACAAGGCAGGATATAAGGAAGGAAAAATAACAGTATATTTCTGTTGTTGTCTTTATTCTGTAATTTTATAATCCAAGTAGTTGATGATGCTACTTTCTTGGCAGCAGAACAAGCAGCTATTGTAACTAGAAGAAACTAGACAATTTTTATATGAAACATAAAGTATATGCTTTCTGAAATACTGTGGCAAGATTCAAGGTTATAATAGATATCTGTGGAAAAATCCCTTACACATGAAACAAGGATGAACAGAACTGGACAAGCTAATGTCTTCAGCTTTCTCGTGGGCAAAGTCATGACACTGTAGTCCTATGCATTTTCCTCTGAAGTTGGTGGTGATGTCACGACTCAGAGCTACTGCAGGACAAGATCTGAGATCAGCCATGTCTAATCCTGTCATCTCTATACACCTCCCTGTGAGCGAAGGGCACTGGCAAGGCTGGGCCTTAACTGCCTATATAACAACAGCTTTTTTAATTAACGCTTGCAGCAAAAAACACAGAAAAAAAGTGTAAAGTCACTTGAAAAACATTAATTTCTTGCTGAAATATGGCATATAGAGAGATCAATGGGATATATTTATTTCCCAGCAGTCAGGCATTGCAGATACATTTCTCTTTTGCCATATTGTCTTCCAGCCTCCTCCCTCTCCCAGAATGAATGCATTTGCAAAATTAGAAAGGGAGAGAGGGCAGAGAACATCAGCTGACAGGTTCCTATGGTTTTAAAATCGAGAAAGGTAGTAAACTTTTTGCTTCAAGATAGAGCTTGTTGTAGAGTAATATATAAAATGCAGGAGTTTTGAATTTTTTAATAAATGCATTCCCTTTGGTTTCCTTCAAATTGTGCAGTTGTGTCAAGGTTTCACAAGAAGGATGTACATCACTCACGCTCCAGAAACTGTATCTAGCTATATAGATATTGCTACAGAGTGACAATACAAAGACTTCTGCAGGAGCAGAAGTCTTTCTAGTCCAGGGCACCAAGCTTTTTACTAGGAACTGTGGCAGATGAGCTGCCCAGTTTGCAGCACTGAACCTGGTACCTAGAACTGTCTGGAGTTAGTACCTGCCTCCAGGATAAAGCCAGATACTGCAGGTTCTGGCTTCACACAATTCAGTCTTGCAATTCATCCTCAGTTCAGGTTCATCTTTAAAGCGGTGAACAGACTAGTAATGTATAGCTCAAATGCTCTGATTTTTTTTTCAGAAACATAACATCATAACCATTCAGTGTTTATGGGAAAACAAAACAAAACAAAACATCAAAACCCTCTGAAACCTAGCGTTCTAACTGCTAAGTGTCTTCTATAATTACCACTATCATTAACAACCTAGAAATCCAAACTCCCACCTCCCAGTGCAAAAGACCCACAAGCAAGCAAAATTCCTATCTAGGTTGTTAAACAATATATGGCAGTCTCCCTGAGAGAATCTCTTCTCCCTGTGCTGCGCTATGTGCTGCCCTTGGTTACACATCACTGATCCTGTAAGCGTCTACACATCCGGTTCTTGCAGGTGACACCAAGCATGGCTCCTGTTAGTGCTCACCTGCCACACAGCTCTAGGAAGAGACTTAGCATATCTCCAAGGGCTTGTGCTGATGGATGCCACTTGCCAAGATCACAAGTGCGGGGCTATAGTTAGCACAGACAGCACTTCCAAGACTGCAGAGAAGGCCGGAGACCTAAACCAGTATCTCTAAAAAAAACAGAATACACATCTATGTGCTCCAATAAACACACTGAAGGAATAAAATATGAATTTCCTAGTAAATCTGATTTTTAAAAGTAATTTCTCCACTACTGTAATGTACCTATAGACAAAATACTGCAGGGAGTACAGCAGTTTCAAATTGACACGAGAATTTCTTAAACAGCAATTCAATTTCATTACGTTATCTCAAGAAATAAAATTAACAGGCATAATTAAGGCTTACACAACTCCTTATTTCCACTTTGTTGAAACTAAAAGTAATCACTGTATACACAAAACTACGTAAGATATAGCCTTCCCTTCCAAACCCCATGCAAAATTATTTTAGGTCTTTATAAATACCTACAAGTCACAGAATCACAGAATGGTTTTGGTTGGAAGTAACATGAAAGATCATTCAGTTCCAATCTCCCCAGCATGGGCAGGGTCACCTTCAACTAGATCAGTTTGCTCAAAGTCCCATCTAACCTGGCCTTGAACACTGCCAGGGACAAGGCATCCAAAACTTCTCTGGGCAACCTGTTCAAGTGTCTTACCACCCTCACAATTAAGAATTTCTTCCTAACATCTAATCTGAAACTAGTTTAGAACCATTCCCCCTTGTCCTATCACTACATGCCCTTATAAAAAGTCCCTCTCCAGCACTTTTGTAGGCCCCCTTTACGGACTGGAAGGCTGCTCTAAGGTCTCCCCAGAGCCTTCTCCAGGCTGAACAACTGCAACACTCTCAGCCTGTCTTCACAGGAGGTGCTCCAGCCCTCAGATCATCTTTGTGGCCCTCCTCTGGACTCCCTCTACCAAGTCCATGTCCTTCATATGTTTGGGGCCCCAGAACTGAACGCCATACTGCAAGTGGGGTCTCGTGAGAGCAGAGCAGGGGGAGTCACCTCTCTTGACCTGCTGGTCACACTTCTTTTGATGCAGCAAAGATACCATTGGCTTACTGTTTTCTGAATTCAGAGAAAGTTACAAACATATAATGGTATCCTTATTAAAGTAGGATCAAAACAGGAAACAGAACTTTTTCAGTAACTGGATTCACACTTTGGAAGCCTCTTCTGCAAGAGTAGATGACTATAAATCTCATCACATTAAAAAGACAGTAGAAATCTCTCACTAAAATCTCAGTCCTTTGACTAAGGTTTCTATTAAGCTGTTCTAGACACACGAACAATATACATTTTTTTTCCTCACTCCTATGGAAAATTATGTATGAAGAATTTAAAAGCACTGAGAGTATATGATGGATATCATGCTAACTGAATAGTACAGTTAAGACTTGGTGCATTCACTTCTCACCTAGATCTCTAGCCTGCCCTTCCACACATACCATTGCTCAAAATGTTAACTTCCCTTAAGCCAAATGTTTAAATACATATTATCTGTAGATTTCAGCTATTACAGGAAAAATTTTTGAATGAAACTGTTCATTTCCCCCCTCTTTATCAGCGGTTTTCATTATGCTCTTAATGTAAACCAGAAACTGCAGAATTATTCAGCACAGATGGCATAGCAATAAAAATCTGGACATTTTTCATGTGAATGTCTGTCTTTGGACCTATTTTATAAGCATATGGAATAGAAACCACTACATACTGCAGTATGGTAACACTTGATAGTGATAATTGAGAATGACTGTTACTTGACTATAATGTCAAGGGTTGTTTGACATAAAAGAAATGTCTTGAAACAGGTTATCTATCTTGGCACCATACTTAACTTGTTCTACTTCATCTGGTACAGTAAGAAATCCATCTGCTGTTTTTAAATATCTTCAGTGTTGAGGCTCAAGATGGTGATCTCAAGGATGAAACATCTGAATCTCTCTTCCAGTCAGCTGAAAGAAAGGAGGGGATTTAACTTATAGGAATTAAACTCTTCTAAAAGATGGACTTGCACTACAGAAATTAAATTCTGCCCTCCTAAAAGAAAAGTACATCTTGCTATATGAATAAGCATGAATTACTATTATTTTGGAATAAGAAAGAAAAAAAGAGGACTTAGAAACCATTTTAGGCCAGCAAGTCACAAGAGTTACCACAACAAAGACAATGCAGCACTGTAAAGAGACAGCCAAGTTAACTTTAAGCTGCTGGTCATGTATTAGACATTTATATTAGAAGGCTACCCATGACAGCAGGGAGTGGAGTGTTAACCACCTAACCTGCTGAGAGCCAATTACTCCATACCAAAGTCTTGTATTGCCACTCCTGATACCCCAATGGCTAAGTTAAAGCTAGTTCAAATTATTCCAGTGCATTATTTCTAAAGAATTTTTAACAGCAGTTTTTGAGATTGTAATGCACCTCACAGTGACAATTCCTACATATTCTCTAAAGTTTTAAAAAGAAAATGGGGGTTAGTCCAAACTTGAAAAGGTCCCTCAAATTAGGAGGTAGCAATTGCTGCAAATCAAGAAGCATTTGAAATACACTTCTAAGAAAATCAGTTTATTCAGTCTTTCAAGTTGCAAATTACATTTTTTAAGTGATTGTTATGAAATTTCTCATATAGTATTCGCATATATACAGCTTCCTTACATTTTTAAATGACTTCGATTCCTGGTGTTAGAATAATTCAGTTCGTTGTATAGCTATCAGATGATAATTTTAAAGAACCTGACAGAACGCAGAACCATTTGCATGAGGTACCTAATTTTTTTTTTCTATCTGTCCAGCCCAACTAAATCCGAACTTACTCTCAAAGAGTAACTGTCACACTGTTGTGCTTCTATGGCATTAAGCACAACTGTACTTCAAGAATCTCTGGGAAGAACTGAGCTGGCACTATTGAGCACAAATTATATTATAAAAAATGACCTTCTATTAGACGTTAGCAATAACTAGAAAATTTTAAGAAACATAAAGCTTTTAAAGAATAATATTCTAAGATTCCTCCTGTGTACCAGTATGATTGCAGTTTTTCTTGTTCAGTTAAAACCGAGCACACAACTGCTGCTTACTATTCTACTGCTCTAATACAGGTTATTTAAAATGCCTCACATAAGGTCAGTGAAGGTTTTGGCTAGGATTTCTACAAGTTCTGAGTACCTGCCATTCCTCTGAAACCTAAACTTCTGGTATGTGAGATTTCTAAAGAGCCAGTCTGTGACATCTGACACAGATCTTACTGTAGGCTGTAGATGCAGTAGTGGTACTTCTCCTTAAAACACTGAACCCTAAAATAAAGCAAGAGCAGAAGTAGACACATCCTGGTGAATCAGGATGCTTGGAAATGCTCTGGAATACTACAAATCAGACATGAATAATTGCAGTATCCAACAGATCTCATATGCTCCCAAAAATAAAACCTGGCCTGTTCTGCAGCTCTACCAAAAAGTCACCTTCCACTACAAGGCGCTTGCTGTCAAATTAGTTGCCCCTTGAGGAACCAAATTATATGCTTCATAATCTATGTTTAAACCCTTGCTGCTACATGATCAGGCTATTAACACCATCCACTCACACATTCTTTGAGATTTGGGACAATTCCACAATTACTACACTCTGGCTGGTGTTAAATTTCAGAGCCATTTACTCTGTATTAATTACATCATGTGACAGTATGGTATGACTAACTTCTTACTGACATTATCCACAGCACATAATATATGCATAGGACCTCAGTGACAGAGTATTTTTTTATGCCATACTTTGTCTGACAGCTAGTGCTACAGTTCAGTAATTTCTAAACTAGTGAAAGAAACAGCAGCTAGTTTACGGTTACTATTCAGCTTTAAGAAGTACTCACGATAGAGAGCATTATATGAAATCTCATTATTACTCTGCTTCCTTTTATTATTCCACTCTGCCTGTGCTGTGTCTCCTTCTCTTCTGCAGATGATAATAAGAACATGAAGAGGGACTAGGAATGACATGTAATAGTATATAAAAAGGCGAGTTTGAAAGTGTGAGGCCTAAAATTGCTCTTCACTGGTGTCTTACACGTCTTTCCTTCTTGCCACATTTTAAGCAGCAAATGCAAGCCCTTAATCATTCTTAGCTCCCAACCAGTGAATTTAATAAGAATACTGGAGTACCTTAATTTGATTTCCTGAGATGGTGTGAAATGGAAATACTAAAAAAAAAAAGAAAAAAGAAGAGCATAATGACATTTCCTCTCTGTGCCACTTTCGTACCAACATCTCTTTACCTGTAAAAGTGTTCAATATTAATGTCCTATTTTAATAATCAAAGGAACTCTTTATGCCATCAATGATTTCTTATTAAGATGAAAATAAGAATAATGTCTGATCTTCTGGCAGAGCCTGAATGCACTTCCTTAATTAGCCAGACTTCATCTAACATCTGACAAGACTTCCCTCATCATAGGAAAACTGATCTAGAATTATCTTCTGAATTCACATTTGTAGTCAGCAATAAGGGGCTAGAATTGCGTGTTACCCACCAAAATCATATTATAATTTTTGTCACTAAAAATCAGCACACATTCTCCTTAACAACAAGAAGTATGAATCCTTTGGTTTAATTGCTTTATCACTATTTCGTTAACTGGTTGTGACACTTGAATTCCTTTTGATGCTAAAATGAAATGTTCCATGCTAGTCAAGCAGAACAGTATTTCACAGACTGAAGAATCCACTTCTGACTGCTCATTAGGTGAGTTTTACTCCATGCTTTCTCTCTCACCAGTTCATAGGTTTTGCATTACCTCCCTTCATCTTTTAAATACATACATTCCAAAATGTAAATCTATAAAGTATCTACGGTGATTACCACATCTCACCTGTTGCTGTCATTGTATGGCCAAAAATTAACCTTCCAAGTGCTTCTTTGCTATCTCAGCTTGAGTATCAAAATCCTTGAGACAAGCACCAAGACTTGCCCTCAGTTTTAGAGAGCTTGCTTTCCTTGCAATCAATAACAGATTAAGAGTAAATTATTAATATTTCTGTCTCTTTCAGACCTTCAGTTGTATAGAGCAGAATTTTGCTAAAGCCAGCAGACGTCTCAGTTCAAACTGAAGGAGAACTGCATCTCACGGTAGCAGCTTTACTATCTTCATCATGCATTTTGGCAGGCCAGCCATAGATGTAGTTAAAGGCACACTGAAAACTCAAAGAAGATAAATAGGTACAGATGTTTTCCACCCACATTCAAAAGAGCAAATGCTCCCAAAGGGGCTGAACATATATGCTGGTCCTTACTCAGCAGAGTTAACTCCCATAACATATATTCAATTATTTCAAATTCAGCAGGACTGTTCATTGTATTAATTTAAAACTTCAGCCTGATGAGATTTGTTTAAATGAACTAATCCAGCTAAACATAAATGGAATGTATGGCATTACCAGAGCATTGCCTCACAAATCTGAAATGTTCCATCTTCTGAATAATTAAAACAAAGATACAATCTAATTATAAGACAATAACCATCTGACTAAAACTTAACTTGGGACAATTACTGCCACCTACATTTTCATTATTTTTATTTATATAGCTTAGATATCCAAAAGATAGCAACTATAACCTGGCCAGAATAGTGCTCCACTGTCTCTGTTGACCACCCAGATGCAAAAGGTCCATTTTCCTTGTTATTTCTTAAGAGTTGAGTTTTCAGTCAGATTCCTTTACCTGCAGCTCAAAGCTCTGCTGCTCTTTCCACAGAGAGTAAGTGTCCCTGATGCCAGCCTTCCCCCAGTGATACAAGTCAACCCTGGCAGCTCTGCTTCTGCCGGCAGGGCTGCAGCCGTGCCCAGCCGCAGGGGCGCCTTACTCCCCAGTGGCCTGTATCAGACTGGAGGCTAAGCATGGACCCCAGAGTGCAGCTCCCTCAGAAAGGGAAGCGAACAGTGCGCCCTCACAGCTGCTCCAGGCCCCACTGCACTCACCAAGCGCTAGGTTTACTTCCCCGAGACACTGTCCGGACCACATCCCCGCCTCAGGCCACATTCTGCCTAGGTTCACCTCCATCCTTCTCCAGGTCAAACCCTGCTCTTTGCAGTAACCACAAACCTTAAAACATTTTAAGGATTTTTTGAGGAGTTGCAGGTTTCCTCTACAAAGAAGATGGAGATTCCCTTTTCACAAGGTGTCACATGGAAAAGCCAAGGGGCAATAGGCACAAGTTATTCCCGGGGAGACTGCAACTGAACATAGGAGGAAAATTTTTCACAGTGAGCATAATTATCCACTGGAATAATTTCCTCAGTGCTGGGCACTTTAAGATTTGACTGGACAGGGCGCTGGGGCATCCAGTCTAGGTCATGATCCACCTAGTAAGGTTGGACCAGAGGACCCTCCAGGTCCCTTCCAACCTGTATTCTGTGACTGATTTATTTTTGTTGCTGTTGTGTTTGGATTCCGGTTTATTCCGTTCGAGGTTCTTCATTTGGTTTTGTTGCTGCGGCTGGAATGATTTCTGAAAAGACCACTCGCAATTCCTTCTCTGCCTACTCTTGCTGAGGTCTCTGGCAGCCTTCAGAATTCTACATGGCCTCGCACAGGGCTCAAAACCAGGTGCTCTTTACTACACAGAACTTCATTTTTAATTACGGCTGGTTCGGAACGCACGCTCGCCTGCCACGATCCGCTCCGCGCATGGACACCAGCGCAAGGCCGGCAGGGCAGCCCGCGCCCGCTTCCCCCTCAGCAACCCTCCACAGGGTTAACGTGCAGACGTGACCGTTCCGCTTTCCACGCGCGGTTCTGAACTGGCCGCACTCAAAATCACAGCCAAGGCCTGCCCCATAACCAACGGCTCCCGCGCGGACCCGGGGGGCGGCAAGACAACCCCACAGCCACCACAGCCCTCAGCAGGCAATGGCGGCCACACCCGCCACGCCGGGCGGCCACCCCCCTTTGGCAGGCAGCTCACGGACAGCCGCGCGGGGTCCTCCCGGCTCAGGTCACGTACGGCGCGCAAACCGTGGCCCCGCCCATTCCCGTCCGGCCACAGCCCACGCTGCGGTAGCGCCATCTGCTGGGCGCGCTGCCCGTAGCGCCTCGCCTCTGGCGTAGCAGGGCCGAGCTCGGCAGGGTGGTGCTGCCAGCGGCGGGCCCGCGCCCTCAGCAGCGGTTGTGTTTAGCCTGTCGCCTCGCCGTGCTGTGCTCCAGGGGAGGGCTGCTGCGCCGTGCCGGCTGGTTACCGCCTGCGCTTGTCTCCATTGTACGGTAGCGGCATGGCCGAAGGGACCGCGTGGCTTCCGGCGCGCTGGGCTGATGGAAACCGTCGTCCTGCTGCGCCTTCCTCCCTGAGGAGCCCTGCGCCGATAGCCGGACGAGGCATCCCGAGTACAGCCATGGGAAAAGGCCATTGTCAGCAAAGCGCACTTAGGGGAGATTCAGGACGGGCAACTGACACGGTTTTCTGTGGAGCAGACAACTTTAGTACGTGACTGGTTGCGTCGGTATTTGCATGCTTCCAGTCAGGTCAGTACAGTTCAAGACTCATATGCAGAGGAGAGTCACTGCTGGTTCAACCAGGCATATGGTTGGGGGGGTTTGACCCACTTGTCACCCACTGTAATGTTTAGAGCAACATGATCTAGTGGAAGGTGTCGCAGCCTGTGGCAGGGTTGTTGGAACTCGATGATCTTTAGCGTCTCCTCCAGCCAAAACCCTTCTGTGATTCTGTGAAATGTCTGAGACCCTAGAGAGGCAAATTATGTTTATAGTTAATTCCATTAAGTCAATACACCTATTCCTGAAGTGAAGGAAATACTTTCCTAGCACAGATTTAAGGCTTTCAAGTAAGATTACCAGATTTACAGCCAGCTTTACAGATCGTAAGGGTGAACATGACTGTTGAGCATCTTTTTTTTGAGGTGAAAACGTCCTGAACCAGAAGGGAAGAAAAGAGCAGCAGTTCAGTCCGTGCCCTATCACCCTAGCTTCCTCCCAGCTCAGCAAAGGGGGGCATGCACTTCCAGTTACTGGCAAGGAAGGGTAAGGAAGAGGGCAATACAGTCAGACTTGAAACCTTTTCTTGTGGCTGGAACAGTCTAGGATCACCCACTGCACTTGTGCCCAGGTGCAGCCCTGGCAGCACATATTAAGCACACCCTCAGTATTGCTCCAGCACAGAGGCAAGCCCTGGGTGTCCTGCTGTAACGGCTAAGTGACCTGCACAAGCTACCCTGAGCCACCTGTTCACACTGCAGTGCAGCCCTGGCCTTTGATCCTCTGGGTCTCGTCCATGTTATTTCTTAACAGAACCACAGTTACTGTTTGAGGGAACGTGAGGTACTGAAAAAGACTGAATTTTTGCTTGCTATGGGAAATGAGTAAGCTGCTCTTCCTGTAAGGACAAACAAAACAAGCCTATGGTTTCATTTATCTGTATGCATCTTCAGCAAAGTTGTTGCTGTACCAACTTAGTATATACTCACTGATACAGTTTTTGTCTCTTTCTTGGACCTTTCCAGGTCCACAGTCATTCTAAGAGATCATCTCTGAGGCCTTTCCAAATTCTTCAGCATCTTTTCTGAAGCACTGAAATCAGAATTAGACATAGCATTCAGCAATGATCTCATCGTTGGTGCAGAGAAACCAAAATAAAATCTTCACATCACCTCCTGAGTAATATCTCTGTATTAGGACAGTGGAGTGAGGCTGCATATATGTCTACAGAACAATTATACTGGGTCAATTTTTAGCTTTCTGACCAGAAAAGGAGATTGCTCATCCTATTTAGTTCTAATTAGCTGTTTAGTTCCAGAAGAGGGCCCTTTCTTCTGAAACTTTACCCATAGTGTTGGCATAGAAAGTCCAGGTCCTTTTTTCTCACATTGACCAATATATACTGCTTTTCACCTGAGTTCAGTTTTTAATCTGTAACTCACAGTATTACTGAGAGCTTGCATGACGTTCTTTGTTGTATGGTGCCTAGACTTGTCTCATGAATCTTACCAGCCAGTGTAATTCTTGTTGGGACTAACACAGATTTGCTCCTCATTTTCAGACATACAGTCAGTCACAACAAAGGATCTAGTTTAGTGTAATCCCAATTAAGTAAAGAAGCAATACCATTTAGTACATAGGCTAGAAATACTTATACATGTTCTGAAAACAACTGAAAAAAAAAAGTGCCCAAGCTAGTGGTGAATAACAGGGTATTCACATGGTGAAATGGAAAGTGAGCCTATGGATTTGTGCTTTGCCAGGAAGAGCACATCTTTCTTCCTTTCAGTTTAGTGGCAAATATTTAACAAGAAGCCCTTCCAGCGCTTATATTTCTACAAATGTCAAAATACAAAGTCTGCTGGAGATTCCAAGTGTTGTCTTGCTTATAAGCAGGAATGGCCTAGCCTGCGTACTGGTTGAAAAGAACCAAAAAACACAGGAAGGAAGGCAGACAAAAGAAGTAGGTAATAATAATGAAAAATTTGTTGTAGAAATTGGAATTTTTTATTTCTCCTTTAGATAAGAAGCTATACTATGCTACTTTATCTTTGCCATTCTCTTAAGCTCTTTGATACATGTCATATATTAAGGAAAATCACCAACAGTTTCAATCATTTATGAACGCTACAGAAAAAATGATCAAACAAGACATGGAAGGCAGGAGTAGGATGAAGAGCATAGAGCCCTAATAATAGACTAGTTCTTCAGATATTTTTTTTAAATGAGAAGGATTTTTCTTGAGTATAAAAGTATGTGACTGCACATTAGAGGGGCTAAACCAGGAGCTAAAAAATGCCTGATAATAAATAATATCTAAAGCAAATTCATAAAAGTCTTCATTTAACAATAGTCTGATTCAAATTCCTGCTTGGGAGAAAACCCCACATTGATAGAAGAGCTTACATTTTTTTATGGTGCCCTAAAACTGATTTAATCAGTCCTTTCAGTCATTTGGCAATGACGCCTAATAAGAGTGCCATAAATGTAATCTCCATCTCATTTCTGTATTTTAGCTGATGCTTTTTACCATATGGAATGGTGACATGAGCTGTGCTGCCGGCAACAGGTTCAGGGCAATGTTTTATCAGCTCGTCCTCTTCTTCCACCCACACCACAAGCTCAGTAGAGATTTCATTTCTCAGTACTATTCATTTAATTGTTTGCCTGGTTGATCTCTAACCGATAGATTTGAGCCAGCCTGAAACAACCCTTTTCTTATAAAGTTGGGTCAATTCTCAGAACTCATTCAGAGCCTACATAACTCAATCTATTAAAAATGAAACAAGCAAACAAACCTCAAACCCAGTGACTGGGACCTCAGCAAAGGGAGCAGATAAAGGTGAGAATGAACAACTCTCTGTTTCCGGGAAAATGATGTCAATAAAATGTTGAATTCAGCTTGGCTGTAACCAGAATAGTTCCTCTGTCCATACCTATAGTCTTTTATCTCATACTCCATCATATTGCTTTTACATGAGTTCTTTAATTGAAGTAATATATCTTTTGGGTCACTTTCCTTGTGCTAATACATGATGAAAGACTTAACAGTCAAGTGAAGGAGGAGAAAGAAAGAGACAGCTGTTACACTTTGCATTCACCTTCCTAATACATGACAGGAAGAATCTGGAGGCACGTCTCAGGCAAACATCAAAACAGCTATTATACAAATATGTTAGAACATCAAAGCAAAAGCTCTCGTGTACCCTAGTTGATTTCCATTGCAAATACAAAGCTAACTCATTTATTTGCAGTTTACGCTCATGA